AATAGCAACTTGGAAGTTTGTTAATAGTTTAAGCCCCTCTGTGTGAAAATGGAAGAGTTACCCCTGTTTGTCTTTCCAGGAGAGAGAGAGTGACTCCCCGCACCTGTCCTGGGAAAAGATGACGACTCTTCAGACCGTTATCTATACCTACGTTATGAGCACGACTCTGATAGCGTTTGTTCCAGAGATATCAGCGTCTTGCATGTGCTATCGTATTAACTGTGAGGGACGTAAATTGTAATTTAATTAATTGATAACAAATCGTAACTAATTGCGTGATGAATATTCAGTGGTCATAGACATTCATGAAGACATGTTAACATCGTACTGAAAATAAGCGATATATTTAACTTGCCGTCGAAAAACGTAAGCAAGTCCATGTACGTGTGTGACGCAAAGCAGATTATGTTCGTGCTAGTGAAACAAGTATATATATATATCTGATGCAAGAAGAAATATATTTGTGCTAGTGAAGCAAGTATATATGTGATTCAAGAAGAAATATATTCATACTAATGAATCAAATATTTATGTGATTTAAGAAGAAATATAGTTGTGCCAGTGAAGAAATTATATATATGTGATTCAAGAATATATTCGTGCTAGTGAAGCAAGTATATATGTGATTCAAGAATATATTCATGCCAGTGAAGCAAGTATATATGTGATTCAAGAAGATATATATTCGTGCGAGTGAAGCAAGTATATATCCAACGCTCGGAAAGTAACCAACCAGCAAACATGTTAGATGGTTGCGTGTGGTGGTGTGGTGTGTGTGGGAGTGTGTGTGTGCGCATATGTGTGTGTGTGTACCGGTATTCAGTAGCAGGATGACTTCTTGAGCTACTACTAACACCACCACTGCCACCACCTCCGCCACCACCATCACCACCACTACCACCACCATGAGCGCACAGAAGATCAAGAGCATGGTGCTCCGTAAGAAACTCGGGTAAGTGAGAGGATGGCACTGAAGGATAGGGAAGATAGGTAGGTGATAGTGAGGAAGGTAGGTGACGGTAGTGGGGAGCAGGAGAAGGTAGGTGATGATAGGGAAGGATACGGATAATTAGGTGATGGTTGGAGAGAGTGCAGGAGTATATAGGTGATAGTAGGAGAACGTAGATGATAGCTGGGGAGGGAATGGGAAGGTAGGCAAATGAATGGGAAGATAGGAAGGAGGGGCAGGAGAAGGTAGGTGAGGATGAAGGGAGAGAGGAGGTAAGGTAATGTAATTATCAGGAGAAAGCACTAAGCCAATACGACTGAATAGCGGATCAGGATTCAGGATGGGATGGAAGGACTGGTGCCCTAACCACTTGGACGGTCAGGGATTGAACACCGACCTGCAAGAAACGAGATCGTCGCTCTACCGTCCAGCCCAAGTAGTTGATGGATAGGGAGAAGGAGGAAGAGATGGAAGGAAGTAAAGTTGATGGCAGGAGATGGCATGGGGAGGGAATAAATTATTCATGCAATTGCTCGTCTTCCACACCGAAACAAGCATAAATGGAATGCATTAGGCAGTGATGTGGTGGAGGCTGACTCCATACACAGCTTCAAATGTAGATATGATAGAGCCCAGTAGGCTCAGGAAACTGTACACCAGTTGAGAGGCGGGACCAAAGAGCCAGAGCTCAACCCCCGCAAACATAACTAAGTACACCAACTCATCCTTGACTAGATAGTTGATATCTTTGATAGTACTTTATGTATCTTTGGCCAATCGTACAAATATGTAGTAATGTGACCCCAGTAAGCCTCTTTGTACCTTTTAGTCAGGAAAAAATAGAGATAAAAACCGATTTTAAATATTCCTAGGCCTAGTATAGCACATATATATGTATTATATTAGGCCTCAGATAGCGTGTATTAGGCCTAGGATGGTTGGGTTAGGTTTTATTATCACCATAAATGTATAAACCTTTCCTGTTTTTTTTAACAAATTCAGTAATACTGAAGTTTGGTGTTTGGTGGCTCATCACCTCTTAGTGTTGTTTTCCACCACATCGTTACTATGAGTTATTCAGTTTAGCAGGATGGACTACGCACGCACGCACGCACGCACACACACACACACACACACACACACACACACACACACACACACACACACACACACACACACACACACACACACACACACACACACACACACACACACACACACACACACACACACACACCACACACCACACACACACACACACACACACACACACACACACACACACACACACACACACACACACGTTGTGTCAATAACAGTTCAAATAGCTGCTGCAATTTCCGGCTCTTCACAAACTTTGTGGGTAATTATGTGGAGAAAATATATTAAGCCCGTATGACTATATAGCTCTGGAAGGGAATGTATTGACAGACCAAAAACTGGGATAGTAGACTGGTATGAAGGAAATGTGCACTACCACTTGTACCTTGTTAGTTGGCTTAACTAGTCTAGCACCACGCTCCCTTTCCCCCACTCTCTATTCCCTCTCCTTCTCTTCAACCTCCATTCTTTCCTTCTATCCATCCCCCTTCCTCCACCTATCCCCTCCCACCACCCATCCCATCACTCTGGGTCAACAACAAAGACCGCAGCATTACCACCAGCGAGTCCAGCTAAAAATAATATTTTTGTGGTGCAGTTCCAGGTCATACGAGCAGTGTGTTGCCAGGGGGGGGGGGGTGCAGAGTCTAGCAGTGTTGCCAGTGTAGGGGGATGGTGAATCCTGCAGTGTTTCCAGTCTATGGGTGCTGAGACCTGCAGTGTTGCCAGTCTATGGGTGCTGAGACCTGCAGTGTTTCCAGTCTATGGGTGCTGAGACCTGCAGTGTTGCCAGTCTATGGGTGCTGAGACCTGCAGTGTTCCAGTCTATGGGTGCTGAGACCTGCAGTGTTTCCAGTCTATGGGTGCTGAGACCTGCAGTGTTTCCAGTCTATGGGTGCTGAGACCTGCAGTGTTTCTAGTCTATGGGTGCTGAGACCTGCAGTGTTTCTAGTCTATGGGTGCTGAGACCTGCAGTGTTTCCAGTCTATGGGTGCTGAGACCTGCAGTGTTTCCAGTCTATGGGTGCTGAGACCTGCTGTTTCTAGTCTATGGGTGCTGAGACCTGCAGTGTTTCCAGTCTATGGGTGCTGAGACCTGCAGTGTTTCCAGTCTATGGGTGCTGAGACCTGCAGTGTTTCCAGTCTATGGGTGCTGAGACCTGCAGTGTTTCTAGTCTATGGGTGCTGAGACCTGCAGTGTTTCTAGTCTATGGGTGCTGAGACCTGCAGTGTTTCTAGTCTATGGGTGCTGAGACCTGCAGTGTTTCTAGTCTATGGGTGCTGAGGCCAGCAGTGTTGCCAGGCTGCTGAGACTAGCAGCGTTATTTCCAGTGTAGTGGTGAAAGAGAGTTTACCCCTAATGCTTGAGTCTTGCATCATTACACCCAAAGTCTACACCTCTACTGGTCTCTTGAGACGTTCAGCTTGGCTGGTGACGGACTACAAGGAAAGTTTACAGAAGCTCAAATACTATCAGCATTCATTGTATAAAATAGACTTAGAGCAGTTCATAACGTATTTTCTGCTTCCCCCTATTACTTTTGAAGGGTTTCTTTAACCCATTTGTCTTCATTAATACAAGTTACCCATTAACCACACACTCAACCCTAACCGGTTCCCGCCTCGGACCCTAACCGGTCCATATCTGCAGTACTGTCATCCTAGAACCCTTTATGTCCGCCCTCCAGGTTAGTCACGTGAGAGATCAACCCTAACACAGTGGGTGGAGGCGCCCGCCAAACACATACCGAAACTACGACGTTAGTACAACGTTCGAACAAGTTTTAACACCTAACCAGTTATAACAACCAATATAGCAAGTTGTAACAACGTTCTAATACGTCATAAACACGTTAAGCCAAGATGTAACAACTTTATTACAAGTTGTAATAAGCGGAAAATAGAGACAGTTTCGGTTTGTGTTTCCAGGGCGGTGAGCTCTCGGTACCTCGTCTCGTCGGTGCTCCAGCTCTGCAGCTCCGATTGTCGCTGCTGCTTCCGCCACGCCTTGGCCTGACATTCTAAGATTTGGGCCTTAGAATCACGTGTTAATAACCCATTCCTTTGACACAACCTCTGTGACATAGGTGTCACAATCACTTGCATCGTCTAAGTCTGACCTGACAATGGTCACTCTGTAGCCTAGTAGTGTAGTGTGATCTTTCCCCTCCGGTGATCTCCCTGTATCAACTCCCTGTACCTCAGTGCACATCTTGTAACATCACTATATTCTAATCATTCATTCTTACTCCTCCACTTGGAAGACTTAAAAGATTCTGGTGGGTAAATACATAATATTAAAGTTACAGCAGAAGGGGTTCTGAGCCCTGCAGTGTTGCGCCCGTCTAAAGTCTCCAGGAGGCGCTCTGGAAACTGAGGATGAATGGTGCACTTTTATTTCAAGTGGGATGGATGATGGCAACATTGTCTTGTATAGTGCAGTGGGCGGGTCACGAGCAGGACAAGTGGGTGTGTGGGGGGAGGGGGCGTATGGTGGGGGGGGGAGGGGGCGGGTGGGTGGGGTGGGGGGGAGGGGGCGTGTAGTGGGGGGAGGGGGCGTGTGGTGGGAGGAGAATGTCTTTTATGAGCAAAATGAGCAAATTTTGAGCAAACCTCTTTATGAAGAAAAGTCTTGGCCAACTCATCAGTTCTATCGTGCATTCGGAGACTAATATGGGAAGGAATCCACGGGAGACAAACTTTGACTCCATCATTGATTATTTCACCATATCTGTGTCAAGCTTCAGAGACAAGCACGTCACAGTTATGCCTTAGGGAGCTGAGGGCAGTCAAGGATGACAAGGAGTCACTTACAATTAGCGTGTTTACTCTGGATTAATATGCACGCTCGAGTGAGTTAACAAAAAGCATGCCCACGTCTCGCATGAATTAGGAGACAATTAGAGTAATATTCTATTGACTTCAATATAAATAGAATCAATATTCTAATGATATTGAAGTGGATACCTTTAATATCAAAACTTTATAAATAAATAATATATATATATATATATATATATATATATATATATATATATATATAAATAAATATATATATATATATATATATATATATATATATATATATAATATATATATATATATATATATATATATATATATATATATATATATATATATATATATATATATATATATATATATAATATATATATATACTTGGTGCCTGGGGTAAAAGTGCTGCTAGCTTTTTGAAGGAGTTGGGGTCTAAGCTAATCGAAACAACTAGAGACCCTAGAGCTGCCAGTTTTCTTTTTCAGCGCCTTAGTGTGGCAATCCAGAGAGGAAATGCTCACTGCATCCATGGTTCCTGCCCGCCGTCTGAGGAGCTGGAAGAGCTGTACAACTTGTGACAAGCAGCCTTGTACCCTGCATGTAATCAATATTGTAACTTTTTTTGTGTAATGACATTTTCAAATAAAGTTAGATATATATACACACATACCAAAAGAATAGGGGTGGTAGGAGAAGAAAATATCAAAGTGTTCAGTGAGGATCCACAAGGTCTTCTCTGAGTACTCTTTATTTTCTTCTCCGAGGCTATGGGTCCCTACACTTGCACCAGAAAATATATATATATATATATATATATATATATATATATATATATATATATATATATATATATATATATATATATATATATATATATATATATATATATATATATAATATATATATATTATATATATATATATATATATATATATATATATATATATATATATATATTATATACATAAATATTACAATTATTCTTAGTGATTACTTAGTAATCACTAAGAACTCTAAATAACCCGACCAGGATTCGAACCCATGCCGTTCAGGATCACCGGTACGTACACACTATTGCATCCACCGCACCATTGATCGTCAATAAGG